CCCGCTGGGCACCGCGGCGGGTGTGTGACTGGGGCGGTGGCCGCGTGGCGGCGGCTCCGGTGGCGGCGCGATCGCTCCTGGGGCCCGGGCGTTCAGAGGCGCCTGTGGAGCTGCATGTAACACCTTCCAATGCCTCACTACCTGATGCTGTTCAGACTCTGTATCTTGGGATTACTTGAAATTGTTGCTATCAAACAGCTTTTGCTCATCTCAGTGTGTAGAAATGCAGTGTCAGTTAATCAATTGACTTTTAACAGGTTTTGTGTCTCTCCTTAGCAGGCAGATCATGCTTTTAAGTGCAGTTAATGTTCTGTGCTTTTTAACCACCATCACCTTAATCTTCTAGGATGGAAAACACACTAGTGACTGCAAAATACTAACAGGAGCGATCTTATCAATTGCTCTAAAAGTGCAAAGTTCATAAACCTCAAATCACCCTAGCAGCCAAGGGCATGTGTACCTCTGTAAAAGCAGGGCAATTATGGTATGCAAGGGAATGACTTCCACTTCAGGAAGTAGGAAGGTGGAATGTTTTGCAGGCAGTCAATTTCCTGATGCAAGCCGATTAAATTTATTGGTAGTACTTACCAGCACGCAAAGCTAGGGAGGATGCTGATATTCATAACTGAACTTGTTAAACTATCTTTCAGTAGAGTTATCTACAGCCTTTGAGTTATGTAATGTGAGAATAACTACTAAACTTCTACAGACATGTGATGCTGCCAAGAGAACTTTCAAAACAAGTACCAAAAACCCATCTGATGTCTGAAGAGGAATGGAGACGACTTGGTGTTCAGCAAAGCCTTGGCTGGGTTCACTATATGATACATGAACCAGGTGAGCACAGATGAACAAAGGAGGCTAAAATAACAACTGCTTGCCTAGAACTGAATGTTGGAGTGTATAACTGCTTTTGCACCAAATCCATTTGAAACTTCCTAGGAGATGTTTACATTCCTCTTTATCTGCTTGCTATTTCAACTGCTTGGGAAAGCAGCAGCTTTTAGACTAAACTTTCCTCTCTCACTCCCAGAACTGGTCAGTAAAAATAGTGGCCATTTCTGGGTACCTATCGTCTCATACAAAATGTGCTAGATATGATTTTCCTACATCTGATTATAAGCATAGCTTGTATTGATTTCCATTAATATCTTGGTGATGGCCTCAAACTTTATACAGCTGCATATTTTTATCACAAAACAGTAGGTTTTCACATCAACAAGACCCTGTTGGATGCCTTCCTAGACGAGTTCCCATGTGAATACTGGGAAAAGTCTCCAGCATAGTTGGAGCTCTACAGTGCAGCTAAAAGCTACACTAAAGTCAGAGTCTTTCAATTAATGGGGTTTGAAACTCTAAAACATAGGGTTACTATAGGGTATTAAAAACAGTCATTCAAGATAACATTGTCTGTTTCAATGTGAGCTGCCTATGTTAACATAGCTAAAATAGGTTTTGTAGGTGCTTCATAGCAAGAATGTATCCAATCAGGCCATTATCATTAGCTTGTTATGGCAATAAAGCCCATTAAAGAGTTTAGTATGCAGAGCCAGAACTAGTACACGACCTCTGTGTCTTTCCCACCCCCTCTGTCTTCCTACTGTAAATACCTCAAATTTAGGGGACTGCCAAGTTGAGTATAAAAGTTTTGTTTAAGATTACTGGAAAGTGGTTCTTGAACATGGGGACCTGTCTTATTTCTTACTCTGTTTTGTGTCTGACTGTAAGCTACAGTTGTTGTTCAAGCTCTTTTGAACGGATGTCCTTGCTATCAGGACTTAGGAACAGACTAATGCTTGCTCAATTTTGTTTCCACAGAGCCACACATTCTTCTTTTCAGAAGACCTCTTCCAAAGGATGAGCAAAAAGAGTGACCTTCTAGAAATCTTCTCCTAAATCTTCTTCTGGAACTTTATGTATATGACTGTATATATGTTGGTAGTATTCAGTGAATACTTGAAAATGTACAAAACATACATCCAATACCTGTGCATGAGCTGTATTATTCACAGCAACAAAGCTCAGTCAAATGCAATTCCAAGTAGGCTGCTATGGTGTTCAAAGATTAATGAAAATTTCTTTACTGTTAATGTATGTGCCTATTTGACTTTTGATTTTTTTTCTCACTTTATTAAAGTTTACCTGTTGCATGTTCTGAATAGATGATCACTTTTTCCGTGTGTTCAGTAACTCTTACACTGAGCTTTTCTGCTAAACAGTGTAGTGTGTTCAGATCAATGAGTCACTCTTTCAGTAATAGGCAGGAAGAAATAAACTATTTTAATGTTGTATCTTACCTGAGTGTCTGAAATTTCATTAACTGGACAAAATGAGTATCATCTCTCATAATGCTGGAGGGGGTAGGTGCTCACCTCAGAACTTGGGGGGGGTGGGGAGAGGAGTTACCTTGTTTCTTAACAAGAACTGTTTTGCTCCATGCTTCGGGGTTTCTGACCCTCACCTGAACTGAAAGCAGCTTCTACACCTGCTTCCAGCTAATACAACACTTGTGGTAACAATATATTTGAATAAGTGGTGGCATGCTGCTTAGGGGGAGACAATACTCAGATGTAGCCTCTGGGGCTACCCCTAGCCCCAGGGGTGACTACCCTGTACGCACCCCATCACCCCAGGGGTGACTACCCTGTACGCACCCCATCACCCCAGGGGTGACTACCCTGTACGCACCCCATCACCCCAGGGGTGACTACCCTGTACGCACCCCATCACCCCAGGGGTGACTACCCTGTACGCACCCCATCACCCCAGGGGTGACTACCCTGTACGCACCCCATCACCCCAGGGGTGACTACCCTGTACGCACCCCATCACCCCAGGGGTGACTACCCTGTACGCACCCCATCACCCCAGGGGTGACTACCCTGTACGCACCCCGTAGCCCTCCGGTGCGTTATCCGGGCTGCGCTGGGGCTCGGCGCACGGCGCCGTTACCGGCTGCAGGCGGGTGGAGCCGCCGGCTACGGCCTCGAGTGCCCCAAGTGCGGGTCCCAAAATGGGCAAAAACTGCCCTGTAGCGCAGCAGCGCCGCTGAAACGTGGTGAAAATGCTGTAAAATGTAAAAATGGGTCGCTGTGTGTGCTGGGCTTAGCGAATGGTGCAGCCTGTGCATCTTGAGAATCCTTTCGATGGCCCCTCTTACAAGGCTACTCGTTTCGAGCTGATGGTAGTTCAGAACAAGCGGGAAAGGAGTGTGAATAGATCTGTGGTGCATCAGAAGTGTTACAAGGGGCCCAATTTAATGTGCGTTTCACGCAGGCTCACAAGCTGGTCTGCACAAAGCCTTTCTGAATGCTTCCAGGACTTGGTCTTACAGCAGTGTTAGCTGCACATTTCTGTTTATGCTGTTATGGTATAAAATGACAACTGTTGTTCTGGAGGTCCCTGCCGGCTGCGTCAGGCAGGCCCCTGCAGCTATCGTGACAGGGCTCTGTGGTGTTTCATGTTGAAGGTGGGCAATGAGGAAAACACTTTTCCAGAGCAGTCAAATTTTCCCTTTTCCTCCATATCATTTCTGTGAACTCTGTCTAGTTCTGCATGTTTTGTTAGAAGAACTAACCCTTTCCCAAGCCCGCTAGGGTGAGTATTTTTCACTTACAACGCTAACCTCGAGACACACGTAGCCGAACTGAAGCGCTCGTGTTTCCTAGGGCATGAGGCTGTCGGCAGAGGTCCAGCCGTTTGTGCCCAAGCGCGCCCCGGGGCCGTGGCCAGCGCCCTCCGCCGCCTGCGTCCTTCCCGGCTACCTCACGACGTGCTACCCTTTCGTTCAGGAGCCGCCCGTGGATAAGTATGGGGACCTTCGCGCTCCCGTTTCGGGGGGTGTTTTCATCTTTCCAGTGTCTCACGTTGAATGTGCGGTTGAAGCTGTGATATGTTAATGTTCTGGTGGTAGAAGCGCTCATGCGGGATTTTGGTGTTTTTTTGCGTTTCTGCTTTTCGAGCCTCCATCTGGTCCCTGCTGGTCCTCTTGCTTACAGGGGCCTGGGCTGTTACTCAGCATTAAAGCAAGTAAGGGAAAGTGGTATTGTTGTTCAACAGCCGATCTGGCCATTTGGATTTGGGAGGGAGTTAAGTTCCGTCCTTGGATGACAAAACAGTTATGACAACGCTGTGGTAAATACGGCTGTGTTTTTAAAAGGAAGAGTGAGATTCTGCCAAAAAAGTTCCTCTTACTGTAAAGCATTTAAATAACGTGTGGGCTTTTTTTCTACATCTCCTTCCCCTCTTATTCCCAAGCCTCCTCGCCGCAACAGGAATTTCATTAACTGTCTTGAGGGGCCTAAATCTTTTTCTTATGAGGCCTAGAAAGAGGCCTTCAGCATAGATTTATAAACATATTGTAAACTCTGCAGCAATCTAGAAATAAAGTATACATAACAGGATAAGCATAACTAAGTTTTGTAAGAACCTTGACATGTTCCATAGTTCTGTGGAACACTAAACAATGGATTAATTTTGCAATTACAGCAAAGTTATTGCAGTGTCCTTAGAAATTCAGTTAGAGCCTTAGAGAACATAGTTGTCATAATCTTTCTTAGTACCTCAACCATTTTATGCAACAGGGATTTTCAGTATTTTCAACTCATTTTGCTTTGTAGTTTAAATTTGTCAGTGAGGCGAGTATGGCCTGATCTACGGTATTCTTTAGCATGGAAAAAATAAAATCCAGCTGACAGCACCAGTATTGCCTTGCTAGGGTTGAACCATGGTTATCATTTTAGCTCAGACGTGTTATATTTCTTTTATAAAAATTAGTTGCGACTTTTTCAAGTTCAGAGGTTTCCTTGTTTGTTAATCAGTTTTGGACCTCAGTGTACGCTTTCTGCAGAAAGCATAGAAGAAATTTGGAAGAGAACTTTTGAGTTTTTACTTTTAAAGAAAAAGGCAGGCTGCAGACATGCTGTATTTTCATAAACCGTGGTGGCCAAGTGCAGCTCTGCTTTTGGCAGTTTTATAATTCTGTATGGTATTTCAGCCTTGTACCTTGTAGTGTGCTGTCCTCTTACTTTGATACTGAGGCATTTTAAGGCAGGTTTTATTACTACTTAGTATTTCTGTTTTTTTCCAGTCAAATATGTAATGCATGCACGTCATTGCATGTGCCCTTGGTTTGTTTCGCAAGAAGGCGGCTATCAAAATAAGTAGAATGTCCGTATTCCTGCACAGAAAGGGGGCTTGTCAATGTAATGCAGAAGTGTTTATCTATACAACGACTAATGTATATGAAGCTTTGTCCCGTGGCTTCTCATGTCTTTCCTGTGTCACTCACATAGCAGAGTCCTGGCAGATCCTAAGCTCAGTGAATACTCCAGCTGCTCTTACACGCCTGATGTTGTTTCAAATGTGTATCCAGCAGCAAGCTCACAATATCATTCCAATAATTCAGCATACTATAACAATTCTGGAAGCATCAGTGAATCTACTGAACAAACATATCCGGTCAGGCCAGAAAGTAGAAATGTTTCAAAGGTAAGCAAATATACTATTTCAAAAAAATAAAATTAAGACATTCTTATTTTAAGTCAGTAGTTCTAAATGTTGTGTTCATTTTTGAAGTGAATATTCACTTTCTGTTCTTGCAGTAAAAAAGTAACATTTAACAAGGGTGGTAGTATTAATACGTTCAACTGCAGATCTCAGCAAAGTTTTTGGAATTCTATAATTTGAGCAATTACGGTTTTTCACGCAGGATATTTGGAAAATGAAGAACTGGTATTTTCTTTCTCAGAGTAGAATAGAGATAAAAAAAATGAACATGTATTTGTGACTGCACTTTACCTCATTCAGGGCCTTTTTCAGACCCTGTGCCAGCCCCAGTAAGCTGAGTTAGAGAGACCCAATGGCTGTAATCAGCTAAGCATCTGATTAGTGATACAGGTCATCATATGGACAAATACCTGAGGAGAGAATGTAAAGAGGATGGCCAAACTCTTCCCAGGGGTGGCCGGTGACAGGACAAGGGGTAATGAGTACAAATTGAAGCACAGGAAGTTCCATCTCCATGTGAGGAAGAACTTCTTTCCTGTGAGGGTGCCAGAGCCCTGGAACAGGCTGCCCAGAGAGGCTGTGGAGTCTACTTCTCTGGAGATCTTCAAACCTGCCTGGATGCCACCCTGTGCCACGTGCTCTGGGCGTCCCTGCTGGAGCAGGGGGGTTGGACTAGGTGATCTCCAGAGGTCCCTTCCAACCTCAGCCAGACTGTGATTCTGTGATTCTCTGGTCTGGTGTGATTTTAAGTGTGTGCCCATTTCAGGATAACTAACTGTCTCTTCTGTTTTTTATTAGTTATTGATGGTTGTAGTGTACTGATTGTTTATGGTGTATTAGCTTAAAGTTCAAACTCCAGGTGCAGTTAGTTAACTGTAACTCCAGTTATACTAGGGCAATTTTGATGGTGTGACAAAGCTCAAATAAAATCAACTAAATATGTCACAAGTATTTGCAGCAGAGGAGGTCTAAAGAGGGTGAGAAAAAATCAGTCAAGAAAAGGCATGATGGAGATGGCTCCTCTGGCAGAATTGTGAACAAGACATCTTTCCAGACCTCTGCATGCAGCAGATATCCCTTGAAACCAGGTACAAATGTGTTGTTTGGTTGCAAATATAGAGAGCAGATGCAAAATTGATTGTGCTATAGCCTCCATTTTGTGACCATGTTCCTCAGTATGTTATAGTTAAGGAGAAGTCTCTTTCTGACTGATAACAAAGAATATAATAACCAACACCTGATATTGCAATTTCTGTGGATTCAGTGTTGTTTATGCATCTTATTTGTAATAGCTATGTTTTCTTTTTTGTCTTTTTTCATAGGAAGGCAGAATAGCCATAGTTCTTATGTTACTGTGGTTATGTAGTGGGGTGCTGTAAGACATGCACAGAATTGATCACAGACAAGTTGTGTTGCTTTGACTTTCTGTACTTTATTCAGACAGGTTCAGTAGAGCTACAAACAGGAAGATAACACAAACTCCAAAGTCGGAGAGTCTTCCTGAATCTGCCTTTGAAGCTCCTGTTCTGGATTTCTCCAAATCACAGTGTTTGGGAAGCAGTGAAGTGGATGTACAGTGTAGAAATGTGTCAGTTTATTCAGCAGAAAATAACACGATGTGCCTTAGTCAACCACTGAAAATGCAGACGTCTCCTTTGTTCAACACAGAGGTTAGCTGATGTTTTCATGGTATGAAGCTCATAAAGACAAAACTTGTATAAAGTTCAAGAAGTTATTTATGTGTTCTCTGTGGTAATTTAATGCCTGTTTAAGCATCTCATGAGGAAGCTTCCTATCCCAAGGTATTACATTTCTTTCTGCTGATGGTGGTGCCAGTGCTTTCCATCCCTTCTTTTTCTCACTGTTCTGTCCCTGACTACACTGGCGGTAGATAGCAGAAAGCCCTATGCTGTTAAGAGTATAGACAGGTACTGCTGAGGCTTAGACTTCCAGTTTGCCTGTACAGAGCACATATATTCCTCGAGGTTTCTTGAGGGCTTTTTGATGTGTATTCCTTGTGGAAGTAATATGTAAACAGCCATTTATCCAACAATCTTAACAGAATCAAAAAAAAAAAAGATTTTTGTGTCTGTGATATTGATCTTAATTGCTGTTTGCTAGAGGATAAAGGATAAAAGTAAGAAAGTGAGTTTCTGAAAGAGGGGAGGGGATGCAGTTAAGACATACTAAGCCTAGCTTAATTCTTCTTGTTGATTTCCTTGTTTCCCTAGTTGTTACTAAGTACAGTACTAATCCGTTCAGCAGCATGTCAGCTGTATCAGAGCTTTCAAATATGTTTAAAGATAACATATTTTTTCCAGTCTTGCCATTCAGTGGAAATGTTGGTGATGGAAAAAAGTACCTTTTTGCTGACACTGCCATTCTCCTTTTCATTGCTAGTTTGAATTTGATGATGGACTTGTTTTTAATGTTTTCAAAAAGTTAAAGCTTTCTTGTTTGTTCTTAGATTTGTAGTTTGAGTGCTGCTGTGAAATATAAGCAGGCATCATCTCGCTTGTATAGCAGTAAGCAGTCATCTACTTGCATTTTAGAATGTTACAGGGTCCAAATAGTCCCAGTAAG